ACAGTGGGAGGGCTTCTGGAGTCCTGGCCCCACTGGTGGACCTCCTGAGGGCACCTGGGTTTTGGCTACTGTGTGACACAGAGTGTTGGACTGGATGGGCCACTGGCTTGATCCAACATGGCTTCTCTTCTGTTCTACTGTCTGGGGCAGCGATGCTCTGTGTTCTTGGTGCTTGGGGGGCCACAGTGGGAGGGCTTCTGGAGTCCTGGCCCCGTTGGTGGACCTCCTGAGGGCACCTGGGTTTTGGCTACTGTGTGACACAGAGTGTTGGACTGGATGGGCCAATGGCCTGATCCAACATCTTATGTTCTTATGTCTGAAGGGCTTCTGGAGTCCTGGCCCCATTGGTGGACCACCTGAGGGCACCTGGTTTTTGGCCACTGTGTGACACAGACTGTTGGGACTTTGGACCGATCCAGCATGGCTTCTCTTGTGTTCTTAAGGATGCTCTGAAATGCCTAAGTAAAATGGCTCGAAGCCCTGTGTCTGGAATCCCTTGTTTTCCATATTCTGCATCGCCCAAAACATCTTATGCTTTCAGTATCTGATATATCATTTTTCCAGATGTTGTTTGCTGCAAGTTTATATCTTTCTCTGTGTGCCAACAGCCCAGCCAGGATTCTCAAACTCCCTCTAAAGGAACTTCTCCGTTTGTGAATTGAGACAAAAACAAACAAACAAAACACTCGGCGATTAAAAGAGGGGAAGCGTTTTGAATCATTTCAGTAAGTGCTGGAGGGTCGGCAACACTGGCTCTGCCCACTGATACGTTGGCACAAACCAAGACTCCGGGAGCGTACTCTTCAAATCCCTTCCTCCCCACAGAAATAAGACAGACTCGGGATCATGTGCGCATGGTGCACGCGCTTGTGTCTATGGATGCAAACACATGAGTGCGTTGGCTGTACTGCATGCCGTTCCGAGAACCAAGCTTGGGGGCTGAGCCTAAGCAAAGGGCTCTGCCAAAGCCCCTGCCGTGGTTCACACAGGTCAAGGGACGACAGAGATCCCTTTGCTTTTTAAAAATCCGGTAGGGAAAAGGGAGCGGCGAGATAGCCCAGCCTAGCCTGATCCGGATGGGAGACCGCCGAGGAAAAACAGGGGCTGCTGGGCAAAGGTCAGGTAATGGCAAACAGCCTCTGGACTCTAATCGGGCTCTTCTACTGGAGACCAACATGGCTACCCTCATGAACACATGAAGCTGCCTTACACAGAAACCCTTCGCCCACCAAAGTCAGTCTTGTCTACTCAGACTGGCAGCGGCTCTCCAGGGTCTCAGGCAGAGGTCTTTTTCCACGACCTTCTTCCTGGTCCCTTTTAACTGGAGATGCCGGGGACTGAACCTGCGACCTTCTGCATGCCAAGCAGAGGCTCTACCACTGAGCCACAGCCCCTCTTCATGGCTCTCCAGGGTCTCAGGCGGAGGTCTTTCCCATCGCCTACTGCCTCCTCCTTTTAACTGGAGATGCCGGGGATTGAACCTGCGACCTTCTGCATGCCGAGCAGAGGCTTTACCACTGAGCCACAAGCCCCTCCTTACAGCTCTCCAGGGTCTCAGGCAGAGGTCTTTCACATCACCTCCTGTCAGATCTTTTAACTGTAGAGACCGGGGATTGAACCTGGGACCTTCTGCGTGCCAAGCAGAGGCTCTACCACTAAGTCACAGCCACTCTCCATGGATCTCCAGGATCTCAGGCAGAGGTCTTTCCCATCGCCTACTGCCTTGTCCTTTTAACTGGAGATGCCGGGGATTGAACCTGGAACCTTCTGCGTGCCAAGCAGATGCTCTGCCACTGAGTCACAGCCCCTCTCCATGGCTCTCCAGGGTCTCCAGCAGAGGTCTTTCACATCCCCTCCTGCCAGATCTTTTAACTGTAGAGACCAGGGGTTGGTCCTGGGACTTTCCGCATGCCAAGCAGTTGCTCTACCATTGAGCCACGGCCCCTCCAAGAAACGATCTTCACTTATGAGAGTACCCTGAGCAAGAGGATACGGAAAAGGTTCCGAAGCCTACCAGTTCGTTGCTGGTCGACGTCAGCCTCAGCTTCTCTTCGATCTCTCTTCCTATTTTCTGAACCGTTACCTGAGTCTGTTTAATTGCACACTGGGCCCGGTGGAGCCTGCGAACAAACAGAAAGAACACGGCGAACCATTAGACACACCTCCCAAATAATCCTGCCCCATCGAAGACATGTACACTCCTCTCCGGACGGCTCACCACTAGAACAGCAAAACGGAATGATGCAAATTAATGGTAAACCTTGCTGGGCAAAAGCCCCCCCCCCTCTAGAAACACTGGGCAGGCCCCAGGAAAGCTGTCGGCAGGTGCCGTGATGCCCACGGGAACCACGTTGGGGACCCCTGCATTAAAAAGTGCTGCTGTTGTTGCTGTATACGTTGCCCAACGTTATTCTGCAATTAAAAACATTTGTCAGTGCCGTACAATGAGGATCACCGCCTAGCATGTTGCTCATTAAACAAGTCAATGGTGCGACCTCATTTGGAATACTGTGTGCAATTCTGGTCACCTCACCTCAAAAAGGATATTATAGCTTTGGAAAAAGTGCAGAAAAGGGCAACTCAAATGATAAAAGGGTTGGAACACTTTCCCTATGAAGAAAGGTTAAGGCGCTTAGGGCTCTTTAGCTTGGAGAAACGACGACTGAGGGGTGACATGATTGAGGTTTATAAGATTATGCATGGGATAGAGCAGGTAGAGAAAGAGGTACTTTTCTCCCTTTCTCACAATACAAGGACTCGTGGGCACTCCATGCAATTGCTGAGCGGCCGGGTTAGAACGGATAAAAGGAAGTCCTTCTTCACCCAAAGAGTGATTAACACTTGGAATTCACTGCCACAGGAGGTGGCGGCGGCTACAAGCATGGACGGCCTCAAGAGGGAATTAGATAAGCATATGGAGCAGAGGTCCATCAGTGGCTATTAGCCACAAGGTATATCTCATTCCCTTTTGAAGCCGTCCATGCTTGTCCGTCTTCCATGCTTAGCGGGCTTCTAATGTCCTGGCCCCACTGGTGGACCTCCTGATGGCACCTGGTATTTCTGGCCACTGTGTGACACAGAGTGTTGGACTGGATGGGCCTTTGGCCTGATCCAACATTGGCATCTCTTATGTTCTTATGTTCTTAAGTCCCCTCTGAGAGTGGCCAGTCAAGGGTGTGGCTCAGTGGTAGAGCATCTGTTTTTCCCACAGAAAGTGCCAGACTCAATCCCTCCCATGTCCACTTAAAGGATCAGGTAGCTGATGACGTAACAGATCTTCGCCTGAAATCCTGGGGAGCTGCTGCCCATCAGAGTAGACAACACTGACCTTGATAGAGTAATGGTCTGAGTCAGTGGCCCCGTGCAGATGACCCATGCGCATGTTGATTCACTGTGCAGGGAGGAAGAATGAACATGAGCGCACTGTCCCTGTCCCCCATCTCCAAGTGATTGCTCAGTACTTGTTTCCACAGTGCAAATTCATGGAGGAACACAAACGTGTTTGGAAAGTGGCATCACTGATCACTGGGAGGTGATTATGGACAGGCACTTCCTCCACATAGTCACACTATGCAGATGACTTGGCATTCACACAGAGGTCGATGGGCAATGAGTCAACAGGCAGATGGGTCATCTCCACTGGGATACAATAAAGCAGCTTCGACATAGGCTGATTCTGCATTGGCTTTTCCCTCCGTTGTTTTACCAAACCCACTTTGGAACAGAAATTCCCCTCTGCGTTGCATGCTCCTTTGATCATCGAATTTTGTGGTACCCTCCACACTCCATGCCTTTTTCGCTTTCTTTGATCATTGGATTTTATGGTACCTTCTGCATAGATTTATGGCCATTCAGGGGTGACTTTGCAGTCAGTACAGTGTTGCTTCTGGGGTATTTGAATATGCTTTCGACCTGCACTTTTTATTTCCAGTTGAGAAAACGTGGAGCGAAGGCTAGGTGCAGAATTGCCCGTAGAGAAAAGTGCTGTGGCACCTTTGGCAGAAAGCGCTGCCAAGTTGCAAATGACTTAATGGCCTCTCTGTAGGGTTTTCAAGGCAAGAGACAAAGGTGATCTGCCACTGCCTGCCTCTGTGTGGCAATCTGGGGCTTCCTTGGAGGTGTCCCATCCAAGTATTAACCGGGGCTGAGATCTGACAAGAGCAAACTAGCCTGGACTACTCAGGTCAGGGTGTGGACTTTACTACATTACCTGTTGCTGAATGGTTTCTTAAAATCTTGCTCTCACTATATTTTGACTTATGTCATACCATTTCTTGCATTGTGTTGTTGAAGAAAGAGACTCAAAATAATTTCCAAAGCTGTTGAATTCTTTATTGTACGAATCAAACCCGGATCTCCCAGATTAGAGTCCCTTCACACTTAACCACTACACCAAACTGGCTAATTATGTTTCAGGAAGGATTTCCCAGAAGAAAATACTTTAAAAGGAGACCCTTAAAGAGAAGTGAAACCCCTCCCAAAACAAACAGCTACCAAAAACATAGCTGGCACCTAAGGGATCTTGTGACAAAGAGAGCTCCGATATACAAATGATTCATGACCGTAATTAAAGGCCTAACATCATCCATTTGGTGGCTTCGATGCCTCTCAGGTTGATTGGGGGGGGGGGTTAACAGAAGAAAGCAAAGGAGATGGGAATCCTTTTAACCGAGTCACAGACCCAAGATCTGTTGACTCAACATGCTTCTCACGGGCAAGATAACCCCAAATTTCTCCTTGGTAGATGGCTGGACTAGAGTGCGTATAATGGCTTGGTGAAAGGGGGTTGCCTAGCACCCTGAAAAACAGGAAGGAGACCTCCGTCACTCCCTGACGCCCAAGATTTCAGGATTCGGCTAGCCTGCCAAGATTCACACTGGGGGACAAGACAAGACAAGACAAGACTGGGGGACAAGACCCAACAACAAGCGCACTTCTTCACGAAAGCTCCGACACTGTCACAAATTTTGTTACTCTTTAAGGTGCGACTGGACTCTTGCTCTTTTCTACTACTACCCATCTTGATCTGTCTCCACGGAAGACACCACGTTTAGTGATTCAGAATGGAAATCCATCAACCTTGTGATAGAAGGACGGATGGACTCTCATTCTAGCTGTATCCGAGGAAGCAAGCAGTGACTCACCAAAGCTCCTTCCCTGCCACCAATTTTGCTAGTTTTGAAGGTGCTCCTGGACTCTTCCTCTTTTCTACTGCTGCAGACAGACTGACGCGGCGACCCACCTGGATCTGTCTCCATGGAAGGCACCACATTTAACCGTACAGAATGGGGAATCCATCCGTCTTGCGATAGAAGGACAGAGGGACTCGCATTCTAGCTGTATTTCTCCTTCCCTGCCACAGATTTTGTTAGTCTTGAAGGTGCTCCTGGACTCTGGCTCTTTTCTACCACTACAGACAGACTGACACGGCTACCCATCTTCATTTATCCGCATGTATTCTGGAGTAAGTTACTGACTGAGTCACTCACAGATGAGGTTGGTCCAAAGCAGGGCTATTTTTGGGCAGGAACGCACAGGAACGGAGTTCCGGCTGGCTCCTGAGTTGGCCACGCCCAGTAGGAATTCATTAGCATAATAGGCCACACCTAACAGCAAACTTATTAGGACTGGCTACATTAGGGGTGTGTGGCCTAACATGCAAAGGAGTTCTGCTACAAAAAAAAGCCCAGGGTTTTGACAACAAACAGAGTAAACAGAATAAGAAGCAAAAGGTGCGTGTGGTAACATGGAGATGTGGTCTAATATGCTAATGAGCTGTGATGTCAAGGGTGTGGCTTAATATGCTAATGAGTTTCTGCTGTTGGGTGTGGCCTATTATGCTAATGAGTTCCTGCTGGGCTTTTTCTACAAAAAAAGCCCTGGTCCAAAGTATACTGTTGCTCCAAACCACAGTCTGTCTCCTGCTACGCTACACCGTGACAGCTTTGCTCGTCGGAGCAGGGCCCTCAGCGGGTGCCCATCTACAGGTGTCTGTACAGGTGCCTTCTCTGTCGTGGCCCCCGCTTTGTGGAACGGCCACCCCGAGGAGGTCAGGAAGGCTCCCGTGCTCCTGGGATTCCACAAACGATGCAAAACTGAATTATTCAGGAGGGCTTTTTTAACGCGTGCCATAGAGTAGCACTGTACAAAAGGCTTCACAAGGTCACCTGCAGAAATCATTGGGGGCTGTGGTCTGTATTACTGTGTATAGTTTGCTGTGGGTTGGACCCCACTGTATAGTTTTGCATCATTTAATGTGTCACGTTAACACTGATGGTTTGCTTCAGGTCTGTTTTTAAGACTTCTGGTTGGCTGGAACATATGAAACTACCTTATACTGAAACCCTTCGTCCACCAAAGTCAGTATTGTCTACTCAGACTGGCAGCGGCTCTCCAGGGTCTCGGGCCGAAGTCCTTCACCGTCACCTACCACCAGATCCTTTAACTGGAGATGCCGGGGATTGAACGTGGGACCTTCTGCATGCCAAGCAGAGGCCTTTCCCATCACCTCTTGCCTGGTCCTTTTAACTGGAGATGCCGGGGATTGAACCTGGGACCTTTTGCATGCCAAGCAGAGGCTCTGCCACTGAGCCACAGCCCCTGTCTATGGCTCTCCAGCGTCTCAGGCTGAGGTCTTTCCCATCACCTCCTGCTTGGTCCTTTTAGCTGGAGATGCCGGGGATTGAACCGGGGACCTTCTGCATGCCAAGCAGAGGCTCTGCCACTGAGCCACAGCCCCTGTCTATGGCTCTCCAGGGTCTCAGGTTGAGGTCTTTCCCATCACCTCCTGCTTGGTCCTTTTAACCTGGGACCTTCTGCATGTCAAGCAGAGGCTCTGCCGCTGAGCCACAGCCCCCCTCCATAGCTCTCTGGGTTCTCAGGCTGAGGTCTTTCCCATCACCTCCTGCCTGGTCCTCTTTTAACTGGAGATGCCGGGGATTGAACCCAGGACCTTTTGCATGCCAAGCAGAGGCTCTGCCGCTGAGCCACAGCCCATCTTCTTCTCGGCATGAGCGAGTGAGCTATTTAGTCTGTGGTTGCTGTTTAAAAGGGCGATGGGTATCAGAATACTGGAAAGAGTTCCGCTCCTTCCCCAAAACCAAGGCATTCAATGCAACACAGACTCGCTCTACTGCACAGACCTCGCCCAGGGGTGAAAGACAAAATACTGGCTCTACATTTGGGATGCCAAATCTTGCAGCAGAAATTAAAATATTGCTCCTTGTGCAATTCGGAGGTGTCCGAGCCTTGCCGTTCAAGCACAGAAACGGGAGGAAGTTAGCAGAAGATGATTTATAACGGCTACGTAAGACATACATCTCTCTGCTTCCTTAACCCATTTTGGTGTTACGGAAATGGGATTTAGAAAAAAATAATAATCCAAGAATGCAATCGTTTCAGGAGGTATTAGAATTACAGACACCAGTGCCATAATTGAGAGGCAAAAGGCATTTCTTCTCCACGGGTCGGACTAGCTGGCAATCCCGCTGGGTCGCTTTTGGGTTTTCCGTGCAGCACAGCTCATTTGCTTGATCCATGGGTGCAGGGCCGTCATTCATCACTTACAACACCGCTGGGTCGGTGGAAAGCCCTTTGGAAACCTCATTTCATTTATCCTCGGCAACCTGGGAGGCGAGTTCGCATCACTCCCCATTTTACATTCGGGGAAGTGACAGTTCGGCCATGGCAACCGCAGGGCTCTCTGCTGAGCTGAAACCTGAACCAAAGTCTTCCCGGTTCGAGTCCATGGCGCGATGCGCGGCACTGGTAATTCCAGTATGCTCATTCCTGACACTACAAATGCTCATTCCTGACCACTACTGCTTTAGGTATCTGAAGCGGACTCTTCCTCTGTCCTCCTTGAGAATCTCAAGGGCTGCGTAAAAGAAACAGTTGAGAAAGGAATCATAAGAACATAAGAGAAGCCAATGTTGGATCAGGCCAGTGGCCCATCCAGGCCAACACTCTGTGTCACACAGTGGCCAAAAACACCAGGTGCCATCAGGAGGTCCAGCAGTGGGGCCAGGACACTAGAAGCCCTCCCACTGCTGCCCCCCCCCAAACACTAAGAAGACAGAGCATCACTTGATCCAGCCTGAGAGTTCCTACCTTGTGGCTAATATCAAGAAGAATAACAAGAAGAGGAGGAGGAGCAGGAGCAGACTGGATTTATATCATGCCCTTCATTTGGGAGTCTCAGAGTATACAAACATAAGAGACGGCTATGTTGGATCAGGCCAAAGGTCCCTCCAGTCCAACACTCTGTATCACACAGTGGCCAAAAATACCAGGTGCCATCTGGAGGTCCACCAGTGGGGCCAGGACACTAGAAGCCCTCCCACTGGTGCCCCTCCAAGGACCAAGAATACAGAGCATCCCTTGCCCCAGACCGAGAGTTCCTATCTGTTCCTTGTAGCTAATAGACACGGATGGACCTCTGCTCTTAAGAGCCTAAGAGAAATCAATAGCCCATCCAGTCCA